CAAGAAATATTCACTTTGCAGTCAGTAAGTTGTATATTTCTTGCCAATACAAGCTTGTCATATGCAGTGCAGTTCTGTCATTTCCAACTCAGAATACTTTTGGCAGAACTCAGACTGCTTTAGTAATATTAACTGAAGAGGCACTTAAGGTTTTACCTTTGACCGCTTTTCTACTTTTTGCCACTGGAATAGGCACATGAGAAGAAAAGAGGGGCACCGGTGGGTAGTGGGGAGGAAGCTTTTGGTTTTGCTACTTATATCAAGATAAACGTGTGTCTGTTGAACTGTGTAAAATGAAAATGGCTTGTGGGGTAGACAGCATTAGGTGTGGTTAGAAGACTTAAGTCATTAAAGATTTCCCTCCTTTGACTTGGTTAATATGTAAGGCTTCTCATACGGTGAGATCCTGTATGTTCCTATTTTGTTGATGTGTGATCATGTGCATAAGATGTGTCTTAATCTTGATTTTTTTTATATATATTGCAAAAACCTTGCTAACATGCATGAATTTCATCTTGTTCTTCAAGAATAAAGAGTAATCAGAGATGAAATCGTCTCTCATTAGAAGAGACAAGTTGCAAGTGCAAAATGCTGGTTTCCTTTGAGACTGAGATTAATAGGGACAATTTGTGTTGAAAGTTGTTTTGTTTGGTTTTTTTTTTAAATGCTCATAAGGAGCATATTTACTAAGAAAGCTTAACTTTTCCTGTCTGTGTCCTGTTGCATGTTGTGTCTTGGAGCTATATGGTAGAAACTTTGCATTTGTCTGTTACAGCTGTACAAAGAACAGAATTACACAGCATATATTGAATATGAATTTTCTTAAGGAACGTTCTCAGTCTGGAGCTTGATTTCATATAGTGGACACATGTAAATATGCTTTCACATACGTGAAAACATACAGTTGATAATACATACATTGCACTATAATGAGAACAGTTTGTCTTGTGTTATTTGGGCGTTGTCCTGTGTAACTGAGCAATTGTAGAAGCTGCTTTTTTTTTTCTTTGTTCAAACAAACAAAACCCCAAAAACCCCAATCCCAAACTCAAGCTAAGCTTTTATTTGCAAAAACTAAGAAAACTTTATGGCCACTGTGGTCTGGAGGGAAGAACTGTGCACCTAAAAGCTCAGAGTACAGATTTGTTGTTTCCACGATGTATTTACTTTTTTCATTAACTTGTGCATCAGGAGCTCATAAAAGTCTAAAATGAAAACAAGACTTTAACTGTATTTCGTGAGACAAGCAGGAGTCGGTGCGTATATTCAGTTACGTGAACCTGCATAAGGTAGGAATGGGCATATCCCCTCAGTCGTGGGTCCAAAACTACCAGACACTAAAGATACGCGGGACTGTATCCAGCACAGGTTGAGGGCAATGATGACTTTGGTTATGTACCGAAGAGGATATTTTATACCGTATAGGGTCTTGTGATACTCAGTGTGTAGGAGGGAGCGTGTCAATATTAAATTTTGATGCAATTTCTCTTCCCTTGTGTAATAATGTGGAGCCAGTCATCTAAAATCATCTTTAGCTGTTTAAAGAGGTTTTAACTTTAAAAGATACGGAACATCCTTATACCTCACCGTGGCTTTGTTGTATGCTGTTGGGAATACGAAGTATTAAAAAGTCAAGCGTACCTCTTATTCAGTGCTCAAGGCGAGGTATTTGGGCTTTTTGAATGTTTAGACAAATAAGGGGCTCTCACAAGAGTTAGATTTCATTATGGTGTCTTTTGAATTTAAAAAACAAACAAAAACACAAACCACAAATGACACTTTGTCCTACAAGATGCACGGTTTATGAAATGGCTGTGAGAAAGATCAGAAGCTCCTGTGTGTGGTGGTTCTCTGAAGTCTCTGCTTACATTTCCTCTGTTTTTGCATGTCACTTAAGTTTGGATTATTTAAAATGAAGATATTAAGTATTTTCCATTTTAATAGACCTAACAGTAAGATCATGCTCTGATGAGCAAGGATTAAGCAAGCAGGCGGCAAGTGACAGCAGCTCCTCTCTTTATAAATCCGTCTTGTGAATCTGGAAATGAGCAATTTTAGGCTTCTAAGGTTTCTTGAACAGAATACGTATGTCATTGCTCCTGTGTTTTCATGAATAAAGTAGGGAATATTAATGCTAACTTGGGTTTGACTATTTGACACGTATTGGAGTATCTGATTACAAAGATGGCTAAATTGTGATGAAGACTTTAGAAAAACAGGTGCTACGCAACCATTGATGTCTCCGACTTAGTCGAACGTTTGTAGGAAAAATATTGGAGCACGATACTGGAGATACTCAACTTTGACTAATGTTTGTCTGGCAAACAGTAAGTAGCAAACACTGTGAAGGCTGGATTTGCGTTTAACAGAAAGACCACTAGCTATGCAGTAAGAGTGTGAAGTTACCTTCCAGAATTAGTTTTTTCCACTAAAACACATTTTAATTGAACCATGCAAGCGTGGGACTAATTAGACTATTACAATAGTATTAAACTTGGTCTGTTGCCAAAAAAAAGTCAGTAGCAACCTTTTGTGCGATCTGAGTGTTCCATTATCTCTGTCCTCTGTTACGATTAATTTTTAAAAATGGAACTTGTTCTTGCAATCTCAGTGTAGACAAAATGTCCTTGGAGAAGCTGCTGCTGACGCTGTTCAAAATGTTTTGATTAAGGATAGGGCTGTAAGGCTTGTAAACTAGAGCTGTATGTCAAAAATGACTTAAGATTTTTGAGAACCAATTTAAATTTCCAATGGGGTGCGTGCCTCTCTGAAAACCAGTCCCTGATGGATCTGAACGCGAATGCTTGAAAGCAAGTCATTCAAAAAATCCAGTGGGTTGCTTTTTAAAGAGGCTAGAAATGCACGCAGCCTTTCAAAACTCCTGTCCTCGAGACTTGTGTGAAAGTTGTATGTGCGTCTTGGAATACTCTGTATGTGCTGCACCCGTGCTGGGCAACACTTGTTCTGTGGAAACACTTTCTTCGTGGAAATGTTGTACAGGATTGTCTTTATATGAAAGTTTGCAAATTTATACTATGGGTATTTTTACTGAAATTCCATATAAATTTTGTATTTATGATCTTCCTGTAGTTAGTTTTCATTTTCTCAGTGTGTAGATGGCTCATCTGTGTAATTAACAAAAGATTATTTTTTTAATACTGATCTTCCAATCGGTGATAGAGGTTGTGACTTGCAAAGATTCCGTAAGCTCTAAACCAAACCTGCACATCAATGAACTGCTTCCTTCTTGCATGAGTGGAAAAAAAGCTTGGAAGAAGCATACGTAGGTCGAGGGCTTCACTGTCGTAATTCTGGGCTGAGCAGTACGCTCTTGAGGGTATAAAATGCAGCCGGGGCGCAAATGCAGGCTGCCGGGCAGAACAGTGTGACTCTGAACCCGTGGAGGCTTCACCTCTGTACCTCTGTGTTAGGTTAGTTCTAACTAACCGAGAAAGCCACTAACTCCGCAAATTGTGCGTGCTAACTCTTGTCTGGGATTTGGAGGACGGCAGTACGTTCCTCCCCGCTGGTGCGGTCAAAAAGAAGTGTACAGATCTAAATGGCGCGTCTTCCGATGGTAGTTCACAGCGAGCAGGCATTGCTAAAGAAACGGGCCTTAGGGCCGGGTCTGCTGCGGGGAGAAGTGACTACCGGGAGCCACCGCTGCAACGTATTTGGATGACGTGAACAACTACAGATCCATTCTCTTCAGGAGAGTTTCCTGAACTGCCTTTCGCTGTGGACAGAACCGCTGCATGGGTTGGATGATTTACCGTTCACTTTTTGGTTTTCTTCTTTTCCATTGCGTTGATTTCCCGATGTAAAGTTGAAGGGGGGATGGTATCGAATGAAGCCCTTGCGAGTATTTTGTTGTCTTACTATTTAATCAGCTGCTTCTTGTTCTGTCTCATGATGTGAGAATATGAAATTTTCCCCGTGGAAACAGGCAGATGGAATACTACAGGCAAAATCTGATCGGGTTTTGAAAATTACTTTGTTTAAGCAATCAGACAAACGTCAGCTCTATTTTTATAGAGGAACTATGAAGATAACACTCTGATGGCTGTACTGGGGGGGTAGAAAAGCTTGAGTTTCTACCTTGGAATTTTGAACTGGACCAGCGGTAACTCCCAGCTCCGGTCAGCGGGGCTGCCGAGTAGCGTGTGCCTCCTCCTAGGAGCCGATCACACGTTGGAAATGAAAAGCTGCATGGCTTTGCAGCAGGTCTCTTGGCTGCAGTGTGGTAGTGGGAAGGAAATGGATACCCTCCTTTTCCCTTCCCTGAGTATCCCACACACACACGTGCGCACAGAGAAAACGCCAGGATGCCTGGCTTTGAAGGGCTGCCCGGGGGGAAGCGGTGCCTGTCCCTCGTGATGCTTTTGCAGCTCTTCCCAGGAGCTGCCTGCCTTTTCTCCGATTTTCTGCTTATGCTTCCACTCCTAACCCATCACGCACCAGCGGTTCGTTTGTAAGCTCGCTTGCCAGGGAACCAGGTCTGCTGATACCTTTCTTTCATTCCCTTCCCTACAGGGGAATAAAAAGTGCTGTTTTACTTTAGTGCGGACCAGGGCGACTACTTCTTTTAACCGAACATCCTTCATTTCTTTCCCCGTAGGAAAAACTCTTTAAAAACTCCCTGTGCTTTACTTTCACTTCATCTTTCCTGAGGAGAAAGGAAAGCTCCGTATTTAAACATACAGGGAACAACTGGGGATTTTGTAACCAAATATTTTCATTTAAATTTCCATTTTATATAGGAAGGCCATTTTCTTGGCTCGTTAGAATTTCTCATTGATGTTTGCTACTCACTGAGAACACTTCACCTTATAGCGTTCACAATCTGTAAATAGGTATTTTCTGACTTTATATGGAGAAATTCACAAATGCTCAGGGGGAATTTGGAAGTCAAACCAGCCACTTAGGAAAGTTAAGTTACTTGATAAAACAGCTT